TAAGGCACTTTTGGCCTTGATTGGTATTCTTCAATTTTCAAAGGTTTGAAGACTCTCAATTTTAAACATTGCAGTTAGTCTAGAGCTAAAGTAATTACATGTTTTTTTTCTCAGTCCGGTTCATTATCAGGTTTGGAAACCAGTATGACGTCACAGAATGGCAGTCAACGGACATTTGAATTAGTTTTTCAATGCTTCCAAGTTGTATTCTTCAGAAGCTTTGTTTACAAAATATTATTAGAATTGGTATTGTCCCGCATTGTTTCTATTTTCTTAGAAGATTTTAAATACAATTCGGAATTTTGACTTGGAAACCATGACATTAATAAGATTACAACCCCATCTTTTCTTTATATTAGATCTCCCTCTCCCAAATAGGTATTGCACACTCCTTAAATCTTTAAGTGTAATCCTAAACTAAATAACAGGGGGAGGGAAATGGAGACTTCATTATTATGGCTTACCTCTCCGTGGTCTTTCAGCCTCAACTTTCTCAGGCTCGGCCATTGCATTATCGGCTTCGTCTGCAAAGAAAAACGAAATAAGGCACAAGGGACCTACGGCAGTTGGCTCATAAGTCTCATCGCTGCATGAGTGCAAGAAAATATACAGTTACCGTGCTACCACTATTAAATGTTAAAAGTATTGAAAAAAAGCTAGACAAAGAAAACAATGAAAATTGCGTACGTCAGCACTTGAGGGGTCATTCATTCCGAATTCTTATGATATCAAAAAAAAAACAAAAAACAATACTGATGAAATTAAAGGCCGGTCAAATTGAAGTTGATGTTATTGTCAGAAGTAGATTTAGGGAATGCAGGGTCATGCTCGACGGTTCAAATTATTGGCTTCACATTAATTTTAATTTTGAAAAGTTTYTAAGTTCTTATCTACATATGAAACCTGACTTTATGCACATCAGTGACCTGGCCCAGTGATATGTCGTACTAAAGACGGAATAGAGGGACAACCGCAGGAATCCTATGGATACTTTGAAAGACAGCAACTCGTATGTTCCCGCCATAAACTACCCCGTCACATAGAAAATTTCAAGATTCGAACCCGCAGTGAAGGATACACCGATTGAAAATAAAGTTCTTACCACTCAGAGAATTTTCATCTTCGTCGTTTTCAACTTTAGCAACATCGTTTTCGGATTCTTCTGCAGAGATAGTAAATTAAGTTCACTTTTACTTTTTAAAGAATAGTATGTATAGTTTACAACATGAGCGGCCGTGTTGTATGGGAATTACAATCTCGAGCCGCAGGCGAGAGATTGTAATTCCCATACAACACGGACGCGAATGTTGTAAACGACTTATAAAACTCCAACACAAATTAACATGAATTACAGTGAGATAAATGACGAAAAATGACAAATAAGGTAACTGCTGAGTTTAGTCCCTATTAAGCATGCGCAATTTACTGCAACACARAATATTTTGAATAATTATCCATCCCACATGGAAAGCAAGCMATCTGTTGCATAAGCGAGTTTTGTTATCCGTCTTTGATTGCTTCAAAACCTAGTGAAGGTCTATGATGCGACACTAAAACTGAGACCTTTGCTAGTGTTGGGTTGTCTCAATGGTGACGACCGTGTTGTAAATCTGATACAACCACATGTGGTTGTATCAGATTTACAAGGTCAATCACCTGATTAAATGGTCAGCCCTTATTGGAGCAATAGCTTATGCATTATTAATAAGTTTTATAA